AATTTTCGATTTTTTCACTTTAAAGAGTTAAATTAAATGAAGCGCACCAAATTATTCACTGGAATGAAGGTGTTTTTAGCTTGAATGCAAAAATGAAAGTAATTCACTCGACGTATCGCTCGAAAGTATTTGTATTCTTACACTAATGATCTTCAACACACAATCATATGGGAAGATCGTTAATTACATTTTGTTTGCACATAAAAAATGACATCTGTAAAAAGTCAACCATCTGGTGGTAAAATTTAAAATTACGACCTTTACTGCTCCTTGCATTCGTAATTTTCATAGTAGCATTCTCATTAGCTCAGTTCGACTTGGTCGAATATCAGAACAAATGCAGTTGTCTTACCTGCAATATACCGATAAATCACCGATTTCAATGGTCTTAATGGTGGTAATTCACAATTTCACTACCAGTTGGCTGAAATTTTACAGATATTATTTTTGTGTGTGTATTAGTAAAACTCTTTGTGACAATACATTCAGTACTTAAGCCACTTAATGACTTTATGTTCATACGAAAATTGTGACATCTCTTCTCACACCAATCCCCAACAACAATTTTTGTTGAGTTTCCCAAAAAAGATTCGATCGAAAGTCGTTTATTTGTCATGATTCAAACATAAAAATTATTCCATGAAAAAGGAATAATACATGACAACGAAACAACAATCTTTGTTTATATATTATTGCGATGCATTTTGATGTTTTATTTCAATTTTGCCGAAATTTATCGGAATTAATATTTAATAATTTAGTAATTTTCATGATGTATTTATTTCGCCCTCCAAATATTAGCATATTCACTGCTTGACTTTTAAAACAAAAGAAAAAAAACATTAATAACAGTTAGAGCATTAGAGCAAAATTACAATTTAGAATAAAAAGTTTCGACGTAAACAATTGAAAATTTTCAATTTCAAAGCCATGGATTTGAAAAAATAAAATAAAACGAAATAAATGTAATTAACAAGGCCATATTACGCAGCTCTTCTCTTGACCGTAAGCTGATGTTTTTCCGATCGATTTTTTCAGTTTGCTTGTTGTCAATTGGCTGTTGAATGATAGAGAAGAAAGGAGGTAGGATTAGTTTTATATTATTGAGATTAATTTTAATGTCATTCTTGACACATGTAATTTATGGACACCATCGTCATCATGATATTAATTGACGTAAAGACTAATGCCAATAGCTGAATAAATAACATTCCTTCAAAATAAGTTTTTTTTTTGTTTTTATATAAAATGTTTTTTTTAAACGGAATTTTGTTTTTGTGTAAAATGTAAATAAGATACGCGTTACAAATAAATACATACTTGAGATCATAATTTAGATATATTGCCGTCAGTGAACACCTGTTTATTAGTCATTGGAGGTGAGGAATATTGAATAAAGTAACTGGTTTGTTAATTACAGCAAAAAAAACATTTTACATAACAATGTGTGTTTTTTTTTCGCTGTATTGACGCCGCCTGTAGAATATCAGACTTAAGACACTTATTTGAGAAAAACTTCGGCATGATAGTAATACACATTCTTCAGACCTTCTATTCTTACAGAATATCATTGTCGGTTTAGCGTTGAAATCTACTAAAAACATATAGATTAGTACATATGAATGTTCGAGAATGAATGTGAGTCTTCTACTCTGCGTTTATTGAAATGTAACACCGCCATACAAAAGATGCTGACAGTCAGCATTTTTTGTATGGCGGTGTTACATTTCAATAAACTCTCAGGAGAAGACTCACATTCATTCTCGGACAATCATATATAGAACATGGTACGTTCAGTTCTAAATCCTCATTGACAACATAAAATTTGAAAATCTCAGGAGGTCCCATTAGAATCCCTAGCAAATTGAAAAAATTTCCCAAAATTCCATTCACCATTCTGTCTAGTATATGCTCGGAAAAAGGAAAGAGGCCTTTTGTCCTCTTTGGGCGAAGCACAAATGATGAAAAGCTGGAGAAGCAATGGACGACCATTTCTCAAAATCTCTTGACCATTTTCAATTAATCTCTTCACATAACTTTCGCAGACTTACTTAGACTGTAAAGATGTCGCGACGCCACTGCCGACAACTTTTTATCGTAAATATCGTGACAAAGCACAAAGCGTTTTAAACGTGTCTTGTTTGTCACACATATTTTTTATACAGACGCTTATTGATCATGAATATTATAGTTTTGTTTAATTTTCAATTGCGTAGACATTTTTTTCTATTTTTATATCAAAAGCCTTACGGAAAAGAAAAAGTATATAAAGCGAATTGCGTAGGTTGTAAAGTATCAGTCAACTGTAAAAACATGGCAAAAGAAAAAGTGTTCGTACTATTTTTCATCGGAATAATAATTTTCGATGTAAGCTTTTAAATTTGGATTTTTCTTTATTTTTCAAATTTTTAATAAAATTTTCATTCAATAGCTTCAAATAACAAGTGTATATTCTAAACCTGGAGACAAAAAAGCCACTACTGCATCAACCGTAAGAAATCGTAAAACCACAGCTAGCAGCAGTACTACTCGGACTACTAGCGGTAGCACTGGAAATGTAGGAAATCGCAAACTTAAAGCTGTTAGCACCACAGCACATAATGGTAAATATTCATAAAAAAATTCAAACGCTTAAAATGCGCAAATGTGTGGAAATAGGCGAAAACACCAGTACAGCGCCACACAACTCCACATAGGTGCACATTTTAATCATTTAGTTTTTGAGATAATTAAGGATTAGTAAATCGTTCCTGTTTTCATCAGATCAACTTTCGAATCATTCACGGATAAGCGTTGGGTTTGGTGATGACGATTCGGGCTCATCAATTTGTGGTTGCTGTAGAAAATCAAATACTAATAGTGCATATCCACATCCATATGGCCCTGCTGCCCCTATTTCTACTGCACCAAGCACTCAATCAGGTATCCAGTCAACACGAAAATGAGTCAAAATTGTTCAGCGAGAAAGAGTCGACTATTTTCTCTCGACAGGTGATAATTAACTACGGATTTTCTTTATTCAGGTGACAAGCTAGCAGGTATGGTAGGTTTTGCAAGAGTGGCTGGCGTTACTGGTGGCTGGGGAGGTGAAGTGGTGCAGATCAATACATTGCAGGATCTTATTCAGAATGTCGGCGACGGCTACCCTCGGGTATTGATGATCAACAGCGACATCAAAGCATCATCCCTGACCAAAGTTCAAATGGGATCGTCCAAATCGATCGTCAGTACTAATGGAGCAATGTTATATAACATCTATTTGCGTGCCACACCGTCGTCATCGAATATCATGTAAGCTGTTGAAATTTGGAATTTTGTTTTAATTTTTAAAAACGATTTCTATTATTAAGTTTCCAAAACTTGGCGTTTGAACATTCGCCAAACAACAAAGGCAACGATGATATTCAGTTATATTTGAACTATGGCACCGGATATTGGATCGATCATTGCTCTTTTGTTGGACACAAATGGTCCCCCGATGATAGAAGTCAGGATAAACTTCGTACGTCAATTTAGAGCCGCGATGTGAAGATTTTTTTGAAAATGTTAAAAGATTTTTTATGATTTTGTTTTTAGTTTATATTGGCCAAGAAGCAAGCTTAGCCACCATAAGCAGCTGTTACTTCGGCAACCACAGGTTCTTTTTTCATTAAATGAAAATAATTTTTTTTCATCAGGTTCATTTTCGGTTTTCATTTTCGGTCATCACAGGTACGGACTAATCTTTGGACATCCGGGGGATGATGATAATGTAGTGGCTGACGGTAATACTCGCGTGACCATCTACAAAAACCATTTTGAAAACTTGGACGTTCGAGCACCGGGCCTGTTTCGTTATGGGCATTACCATGGTAATTAATAGACAATATTAGTATTATCATTTATTTAATTTTTGATTTTTTCATTAGTATTCAATAATTATATTGAAAATTACGGTCTGGGCTTCACGGTGGCAATGAACGGCGACGTTGTTTCTGAGTACAACTATTTCGGAAGTAGCACCACCAAGAATGGCATGTTAGATGATAAGGGTAATGGAGCATTTATTGATACCGGTAGCTATCCACCTATCACAAATATAATATCGCCAAGAGTCAGTTGGAATCCTGCGTCAATCTATAGTTATCAACCTGTAACTAATGCAAATCCTGGAATGATCAAATATCAAAGAAAAAGTATCACATCAGCTGGCTTCCAATCCCCTATAATTCCGCCGCCAATGCAACACATGATATCTCCTCCAATTTTTCCAAGTTTACCTTGAAAAATCGCATCAAAACTAGAACATTTTCGTTTAATGTTCGCCGTTATATCGAGCTTATCTTAAAAATATAAAAATGAGCATTTCTTTTTAAAAACAAAAATAAATTATGTGAAATTCGTCGATTGGCTCATTGTTTGTGTTACAATAAAATTCTTTATGTGAAATAATCACACGTGCGCACGGTTTTTTTTTATCAGAGGGGGGTCAAATTGACTTTGGTCTCGAGGAGGCAAGGAGTATTTATTTGGGAAAATTAAAATAACAATTTTGTATGAGAGAAACAAGTGAAAATGCGATTTTCTATGGATTTTGGAGCCAAATTCGCCCCCCGTAATCAATCTTGACCGGAGTGGAATTAAAAACCCATTTTTGTTCGGGTTTTTCTCGGGAGAATTTTTGTTTTAGTTTGATAGGATCTTTTCGGCTGGGGAACACCATCGATTTTCGGCTCGGACCCCCTAGGATAAAACCTATATACTCCGGTTCGTTAATATTTAAAAAAAAAATCAAAAATGATTTGATTGAAAGTCTTTTATTTAGTCACATTCAAAGTTCACATAGATTTTTTTTCTTTTTCAAACAAAATAATAAAACTTTGTATTAGCAATTGTGACTCGTGAAAACACCAAGTGGTTTTCTACAATATGTTCTGGTGGTAATCTAGATGGTTTTGTTTACGTATTTGGTGCTGCTTTACTACTGGATGCAGGTGTTTTTCTGAATCATTGAAAGAATAATTTTTTTAAATATTTCTTTTTTTTCTTCATTCGAGTTTTGTATCAATAATTTAGAATATATTGCATAAAATACTTTTTTCGCCCTCTGAATACTTTCACATTGAAGTTGTGATAGTCCATAAAAAAGGCACTCAAATAAAATCGTTGATTGGAAATAGTTCGAGTAGAATACTTGTAATATTACACAAAACACGATTTCGATTTAATTAATTTGAAAAATCAAAGCGTTTAAATTTCAACCCAGAGCTGTTTCACAGCTATTTGTCACAGTGTTTTGGTTGTTTGGTTTCTTGAATCATTAAGTTCAATTTTATTTCATTTCCACTTTTATATATGACGTAAATATTTAGGAGGCGAAAGAACTATTTTGTATGTACCCGTAACAGTATGTAAAAAGAGTCTTACCCGACACTATTACAATCATTGATCAATTGCTCTAATTCATCACTGTTAAAATATTTTCAATTAATCTATGAAAAGATGATGTTTACCATTTTGCCTTGCAATCTGCATGACTGAATAATTGAAAAAAGGAAAAAGCGTAAGAGTAAAAAGTAAGCTAGAAAGTAAGTATAAAATTCCAAATACCAACCCATCGCCGAGAACAATTTCTTTTCTGAAGATGCGACTTGACTACAAAGAAGAAGAAGTAAAACAAAGAGTATTTGCCATGTCATTCTTTTTCGAAAAACACAACTTTATTTATTATCATCGAATTTAATTCCATTCTTAATTTAATACAGACACTTACGACAAAGCATGTTATCGCCTTGTACTTACATACGTGATATAGTACTTTGACTCGATTCGATGGAATGAAAAACATATGTGAAAAAGAAAGTGTGTTGCTATACGTTTCAAATAAACAAAATAATTTGTTTTGCTAAAGTTAACTTCTATAATTCACGTATGATAAGTCTGTTGTAGCAAAATAATTGTGTGAAGAACTTGTTGGAAAAATAATTTAAACACATTTAGAGGAAAGAAATTAAAACACTAACTCCAAATTCAAAACAAAATGCTGTTTATTTTTTTTAACTAATATTTTCAACATCGTCGCACATTTATCTCGATTTTTATTATCATCTTTCATTTTTTATGACATTGCAGATCAGTTTCTGGGCTAAAAATATCAGAATAATGGCACCGTTAATCTAGTGGCCAAACAATTGAATTTATCCAAACCAAATAGTAACCAACTCGAGTATAAACTCGAGGCATTGATGTGTCACATCGAACATCATGTGTAGCGATTCCAATTACTGTGGATCCAATCGGTTCAAAATAACTTCTTCTAGAATAGAGTAGAAGCGGTCCCCCGTTGTTTTCATAACAATAACTACTTGTTCTCGGATTGGATGCACAGTATTGTTTTTCGCTAATGCTATAATTTGCCGAAATATTGATATGCATAAGAGTTTCATTGCATGTAGATAGTGGCATCGTCCACAGGCTGGTACTAAGCACATTGT